AACAAGACCTTGCCTCCGTTTTCTCTTTCTCTCTTACTGTTGTTATTCCTTCTAGTCAGATTTGGACTTCCTGGAGTAATTCCCTGAATTTCCTTTCTATAATATTTTATTTTTTTTAAAGAGAGAGTGAGAAAGTGAGAGAGAGAGAGAGAGAAAGTATTTTTTAATATTATTTTTTAGTTTTCTGCAGATACAACATGTTTGTTTGTATGTGGTGTTGAGGATCGAACTTGGGCTGCATGCATGCCAGGAGAGCGCACTACCACTTGAGCCACATCCCCAGTCCTCTATAATATTTTAAAACAAATTTTCTTTTTTATTCTGTTCTCTAGGAGATTTTCCTAATAATAACTTTCAATCATTCTACTTCATTTGTTTTTGTTACTTGATATTCATTTTTGCTCTAATTTTTGTCATGGCATCCTGTTCTTTGTGTTATGAATTCAATATCTGCTTGACTATCTAGATGATAGAAGGCTTATATAATGAAATAATCTAGTAGGCTATAATAAATTAATTCTAGAAGGTTGCCTATCTAAATATTTAGTCCCTACCTAAATATATCCAACTAGTAAACTTTAAAATTTCTATAACATTTCACTTGTACATATAAATGCAAGAATTTTAAATCAACAAGTTAAATCTGGCTGTTTTTATTAAAAGAATATATGTGGTCAAGTGGAGTTCATCTGGGAAATGCAAAGAAAGGAATTTGACAATATATTCCTTCTTATTAAAAAATTAAATGACTTCAAAAGATGTTTAAAACTATTATTAGAATTTCACATCAATTCCTCAAAACAACTGTCAAAAATTAAAAATGAAAAAAAAAAAATCAAACTCAAGAAAACTTCCCCAGCACTAACCATCTTTATCTATATATTTCATATAAATTTATCTATATATTTCATATAATATAGCTAAACCTGAAAATTCTTTATTAAACTGGGATTTGGGGAAAGGTTTGCATTAATCATTAAGTAATATATAACAAAACTTTATTCACACCAATGGAGAGATTAATTAATTATGTAGTTTTGTCTGATGGACACAAAATGTCCTACTACCTCAAAACAGCAATAAGAACTTAAAAGATTTTAAATATAAGTGTGTGTGTATATGATATCTAATGACATTAAAATATCATCATCTATTAATATTGAAAGTTGTATATCAGATTAACTAGTGACTCATATAGCAAAGAGGATGGAATAAAGCACTCATTCCATTCTAAAATTTAAATGTCTTTGAAGGTTGTGAAGTTGATAGGATAAGGAACAAGGGAGGGAGAGGAACACAGACCATGCTCAGACCAAGAACTGCTCCAATAGAAAGTTGGTAAGGGGTTTGTAAGGATGCAAATGGAAAATGGACAATCCTGTCATCCTCACAATTTTGGGTAGGGCCACTATGACTCTAAAACTAATAGTAACATATTAGCTAAAAGAATAACTATATATTTAGTACACTGATAAACCATAAAGCTTGTTTTTGATAACAATCCATTAAGGATTTTTTTTTTTTTTTGCAGTAGTTGGGGACTGACCTAGGAGTGTTTTCTGAGCTATCCCACTATCCCTTTTTATTTTTAATTTTGAGACAGGATACCACTGAGTTGCCCAGGCTGGCAGTGAACTTGTGAATCCTCCTGTTTCAGACTCCTGAGTAGCAGGGATTACAGGTATGTGCCACTAACAACCACCATAACAATATATAAATTTCCCCAAATGTCATCATCCTCTATCTCTACCCTAGTTGTACTATATAAAATCTTATCTTCCTTCTGCTCAGTGGTATAATGGGATGCTTATCTAACTACATGCCTCTTTCCTCACACTATGGCACTAAGCTAATTATAAAAGTCTGTTTAAATTTAGCCACCTGTCTTTTGTTTTGCTGCCTATCTGGACCTTTTCTAAGCAAGCAGAAAATCTCCAATCAGTCTGTTATCACAACCAGAATGCAAGAGATTAGTGACCACAGAGAGAAGGAGAATCAGTTTACATCCTTTCAGGCAAGAGAATAACACTACTTCACAAGTGAGAAATATGAGGCTCCCTGACCTTAATTTAGAAAATCTGCAGTTAATAATCACATTAAAGTTGGTTTAACATGCCAGACAGTTTTTGTTTCCTCTGTTGTTTTTACAATTTAAGTGTCCTTTGTGGTTACTAAAATTATTTGCTGAAAGGCATGTATTAACATTTAAAAATATTTAATCCATAATAAAATAGGTCTTAGAGTTTATTTAGGTGTATCTGAATTAAAATGTACTTTGTGTCAATTTTTTAAAAGATGAAAAACATTGCTTATACTTATCCAGAGTAGAATTTAGCAATCTAACTGCTAATTATGAGAATTAATGTACTTAATTCCCTTCTTAATTGAGGAATAAAATAGGTTTTTCACTATAATCTGTCAATCCAAATAAAGAACCATATAGATTCCACCACTGTCTTCCCCCCCAAAGGTTAATTGTTTCTTGAAGGAAAGAGAAGCAAGCCTGAAGCTACAAATTCTGCAAGGAAACCAGGTCAAAGGACAGTTGTGAAGTGCAGGGGCAAGCCGGTCAGGTGATCAGTCAATATACAGAGGTAAAGGGAGAGAACCTGGTTTCTTTTTCATAATCAAATACTTACTGAAAACAAACCTGATTAACACCGTAAGCCAAAAAGAAGCCTAAGTGTTCTTTTAAAGTGTGATTAACTTTCACTTAACATTTTACTGAAGGAACTCTATTAGCTGAACCCATTCAGGTGCTTCAATGTGATTCACAAGTCATCCCTGAAAGGAGTTTTCTGAGTCTTTGCACACCTGTTCTCTTTTAGAGTAATTCATACTGTGTGTGTGTGTGTGTGCCTGCATGTGCACAGTTACTAAAATGAAATGTACAGTGCAGCTACAGAGATGATGCTCACAAGATAAAAATACAGTGTGAAATGCAATGTGATAAATCCTGACACAGAAGAAAATTTACAGTGGCAATTTTTTGGTGTTACAAAAGTTTAGGTTCATTAACTATTTCTAAGGTACTTTTGATATTATGAAAACAGACCTAATACTTGGCATGTGCATGCAAACAACTGAAAAAGTCACATTTGCCACTTCCATGCAGGCATAAAACAAGTCTCCCTTAGGGAGGTCTACAGACAGGAAAAAAAAGAAAAGAAACACAGGATGAATTTGCAAAAAATTTGAAAAGATGTCTTTGTATCAACACTACTCTTGTAAATTAAGTATAGATTTTCTAGATCTATGAGGTTCTGTGGTTGTATCAGGCATATTCTTAGTATTTTTAAAAACTTTCTCTCCTCTAAAAAATACAAAAAAATTTAATCAGATTTTAATGACAACAAATTAATTTAAAATATTACTTTACTCAATTTCCTATCTCCCTTTAGCATTAACTAAAAATATTACATACAAAATTAGTATTAGTGCTGTCTTCAAAGGAAACACTAAATTGATGTACTTCTTCATTAAACAATTAAACTAAAAGTTTTGGCTCTCTTTCAACCAATGTTTTATAACCTTGTAGAAATTAGTAATTTTTTAAATCACTATATTATTAGCAGTTGTATAACTGTAGGGTCATAGACTTAAAACATCAATAACCATGGATTTTCATTGATAAATCATTATTAACTTACCTTTTACAAACATACTTAAAAATGAGAAAATAAAATGCATATCCTAACAACATTCTAAGCAGAAGAAAGGTATCCTTGTAAGGTTTTCTATTTACTAAAGTATTGGTCTCTTCATCAAACAGCAAAAGAACTTTGTTACAGATACAATAGCTATTTTCCCCATGATCATACTTCAACTGTGAAGTGAAAATAATGCAAAACATCTTATAAATATTCAAATAGTTTTAAAATGTGACTTCAAAAAGACCTTGTAGTAATAATACTCATATATATAATTTAAAGTTTTCAAAGAAGTTTCTATTTAAGAGAAAAAACGGAAAAAATACTCAGAAAATTTGGCAGTAATTTTTCTAATTTGTTTCTAAATTTAAAAAGTGAAATTTACTATGAAAAGTAAGTTATAGCACCAGCTTTTTTGTTTGTTTTTGGTAGCTATATTCAGTGAAAATTTTCAGTTCTTTTTAAAATTTTGTGTTATCAAAAAAAGACCTGATAGCATATTAACAGAAATGAAGGGGAAATTTACAATCTTTGCTTTCAGTAACTCCTTAAGTATTTTTAGATCTATAGAATATATTTAAAATAAATTTAGTAAAGAATATTTATTATCCTTTATGAAAATATCAATTTTTCCACTGAAATGTTTTTTCCTAAATTTTAATTAAATGTTTACTAAGTATTTAGTCCACGTCAGACATTATGTAAGTGTCTAAAGATTCTCTAAATTTCCTGAATTAAAGCACTTAAAATGTTAAGAAAAAAACCTTTTTAGGTAAATACTGTGTCTTCTAAATGTTAGCTTTGGACATTCACACCTACATAGGAATGACCATACATGGGTGTGAGTGGTCATACCACATAGACACACAGATTGTCAAAATGAATAGTTAGTATCATCTTTGAAATAAAAAGTCAAACATTCTTTTTGTATTATAGGACTAGGGCTCATTTAATTAATCCAAACCACCTGTCTAAATACACTAGCAATCTGTATAATGTTAAAAAGATCCAGCTGAAATATAATCTCTAATTCTGATCAGTTTGAGATCTATCTTTTCCACAATTAAAGGGTCACTATAAACACAAAAGCTGGCATTGTTTTTCTCTGATTAGGTTTCAGTAGCTCAAGTAGGCCAAACACTAGAATTCCTCACACAGCTGTTAATTATGGACCAGGGGATTGATTCACATCTGCTTCTTGCTTATTTCATTAATGGTTCACTTCCAGGTCCTCAAAGAATTGCAGCCTTTCTCCAAAGACAATGTAGGACCCATCTATGTCTGCCTCCTACATAGTTGGCTTGTTCTGGTTTGTCACTCTCCATACAATGCAAATCTGAGTGAACTCACATCTGTCACAGATCGACCCAATTCGTGGGCAATCTTTTCCCATCGACCTGGGGTCCCTCCTGGGAACTTAACCATACTTCTTGTCAGCTGGCTGAGGTCCTCTTCTGTCCATTCAGGTGCCTGCAAAACATTAAAGAAAATAAAAGAGATAATTGGGAGAATGCTTGGTAAAAAATTTAACAAGCATGTAAAACAAATTATTGATAACATGCTTTCTACAAAAACAAAAACAAAACTCTAAAATGTATCTAAAAGTTTAGATAAAGATTTGAGTTGTATATTAAACATTAGAATACAAAATTCCAGCAGCCTTAAATTTTCCTAAATGTACCAAATAAGAAAGAAAGAACATTGCAAAACTAGGTTTTTGAAGACATTTTAAAAAAATTTAGTTTTACCTTAAAGTGAGAAATCATTAATTATCAAAGCCTATGAAATGTGGTGCTGCTCACAAATGCCTCACATGACTATTAAAGGTTTTGAAGTTTTAAAAAAATTATACCTTATAGAAAACAAAAAATCTTACAAGTATAAATTAAAATACGAACAAGTAAATGTACTGGTTCAGAATCAGAAATGAGACAAAAGATTTTTTATGGAAAAAATTTCAATTTTAAAAATAACAAATTTTCAAGAAGTTTAAGTTGTCAAATGATAACATTTTACAAAACTTGAGAACAAATAAAATAAGAAACTTATGTGACTAAGATATAAACCGTCTAGTCCATGCAATGCAACATATCTGTTGTAAGAAGGTAAAGAGCTGCTAGAAATTGGCCAAGTTATTAAACTGAGTAAAACACTTTGAAAATTACAAAACCACACAAAGATTCTAACAGCAACCATATTTTCTGCATTATACTCAGCCCGACCGGTGGTCAAACCCAAAATTTAGCAAAGCAAAATAAATTATTATCAAATAACAAAACCATGTAATGGTTATTTTATATTACATTTTAGCACTAAGCTATCCCCATCATAGGCAGTAACCACTTTGGTATAAAACAATAATCAAGTAAGTAGTCAGCAGAGAGATTGAGGATGCTTACCTTATTTTCCTTTCGTTAATTAATCAATTAATGTAAAAAGGAGAAAAGAAAGGGAGGAAAGGAGTGAAAGAAAAGAGAAAGAAAAAAGACAAGGAAAGAAAGGAAGAAAGGGAGAGAGGTGGAAGGAAATCTTTGAAACAAATACCTTTTCTAATCACCATTTCCGATAATGAACAGGCACACATCAGGCAGTTTGCATTACAGAACCATCAGCACAGAACAACAGTCAGAGGTGAGTGACCCCAGGGACTATCTCCACAGCTACAGCAAAGCTTCTCCCTGACACTAATCCTCCCTGTCATTCTCCCACTGTGCTCTAACCACACTGACATCCGCCTGCCTCACTGCAAGCTTAAGGGGGCCCTTCCTGACTTTTTACTGTCTCCCCCAATCAATGGTTCAAGCGTGCTCTTTTCACCATGTCCAAATGGCAGCTTCACTCATAATCAAAGTGCACTGCCCCTGTTAAAGGGCTTTCCGAAAGGCTCTCCCATTTGCATTCATTTGCAAAGCAAACTACTTTTATTCACTTTGTTCTGCTATCAAGAATGTTCCCTGAAGCAGATAAATTGGCATAAATACAACCTGCCACTTAAGAGTCAGTAAATAATAGCCAATAGTAGAGAGGATTTTATCAATCATTCTATTTTGTATCCACTAAGAACTGAAAGCCTCAAACATATTCATCAGCATGGTCCCTACAATACATGCATAAATTCACTTATATAAAAAAGGTAGCCTACATTGGGTCTGGTTGGAATTTCTTTGATATTTAATGAATATCAGAAATCTAATTTCTCCATATCGGATGATTTAAAAATTTATGTGTAGGATTTTTTCTTTCTTTTTGCCTTATTTAAGAAAAAAAGTATTATTTTTATTCAGATACTATTTAGAGAAATGTAATTGGATTTTCAAGGAAATAATATTTTTACTGCTAAAAGCTGAAGCTGTAATAATTATACATAAAGGTTTCAGAAATGCAAGAGGTAAGTTTTAAGTAGAATTTAAACATAAGCTTACTGTACAAAATCACACCATGAAGAACATTAAGTTGAAACTGCATGAAGACACACATTGATACAGTACTCAAACATGTAGTATATCAATAAAGTTTCACACTAAACCAAATCAACCAATTTCTGCGTTAACTTAAACATATTTTTGGAGCAAAACAAAACTGTCTAAAATGTCAAAACCAAAAATCATTGTTTCACATAATAAACTAATTAAAAAAATAATTTCTATTCCTAAGAGATTGGTTTTCCAAATATACTACATATACGAACAATGGGCATTAAAAAAAATCTGATTTTAGTTCCTTGTTAATGAGAGTCTAAAAGTTCCACCTTTTTTTCTGGAAAGGGAAAATTTTAAATAAAATATTTGGATCCATATCTTGAAAAATCACCTACTGCCATAGTGAACTTGCCTTTTAGATTCATAGCTCTTCATCGCCATGATTTTTATGATTAATATTTTAAAAAGATCAATAATAACTAGGACCATAGTCTGAAATCTGAGAGAAGCCTTTTAGCAATTCATTATTCTCTCTCCTACAGCTGTAAGGCACTTTGGTGAATGTGTAATTCCTCAGCAATAGTTAGTTGTGTCTTTAGAAGCAACAGAGCCTACTGTGATCCAGCTACTACAGCAGCCATGAGGGTGGTCATGGTGTGAATGTATTCTCTCTGTTCTAATCTGGAGCCAACTGTAGCTGTGAAAGTCAAATGAATGCATAAGCATACTGCTTTGCCACTTAAAACCATGTGTGTCCAATATTACTGAAACACTGGGCCAAAAATTCATCTCTACAGTAAAGTAATGGAAGATACCACATGGTGTGGGGACAGCTGTTGTGACTACACAAGCATTCCAATTTTGCATCAGAAAAGCCCCACTCTAGGAATAAATCTCCATATTGAATACAAAATAAAAAGTAAGTTTTCAAATAATTCAGTATTTTTATGTAATAACCCAAAAATATATCTACAGAAAGAAATGATTGGGAAATGTAAATTGTAATATCAAATAATGTCCCTTTGGGGTGAATTTTTGTCATGAAACCTGTTATATTCAAAGATTTGGGGTCTTTGAAAATCTTCCAACACTTTTGGGCTACAGGGGTAGAGGGCTGTAGGGGAAATACACTATATTTTTACATAACCTATATATACATATTTCCTTTCACAGCTTTAGACCATAAAATGTTAATTAAAAGTATCATGCAATTTATTTGGCAATGAAAAATTATGGCCAAATTAAAAGAAACTAACAAATTAAAAATACTTATTATATTTTCCTATTTAAATGATAAAAGGTCCTTTTTATCTAATAAATAGATTCAGAAACTCCCTAATGAGAAATATTTCTATTGAAAGGACCAATTAATGATCATTATTTATATAATAAGTTAATTCAGATTCAACGATTTTTAGAAGGTTTAGCCCAACTCATAAATTCTCAAAAATTTTACCCAAGAAAATGCACCCTTACATACCATTACCTAGTTAAAACATCAGATATAGATAGAGATGTTAATGGCATAATACTAATCTAGTAATCTGCTACTCTGTAACTCTATGTTCAATATGTACTTTTTGTTTTAGAAAGCATTTAGCTTTCAGCTATACAACGTATCTTTCCAACTTAAAAATTGAGTAGTTAGGTACCTTTGATAAACATCTATGTAAACAAATGATATGTTAACATTGACAAAATTAAAAACTAATCATTCTTAGGAAAAGAAACTTTTTCAAGGGCTCTCTTCCCTGGTTTTTTGGGGGCTACCTTCTTGTTATGTCATCACATGGCCTTTTGTGCATGCATTTGTGTGTGTGTGTGTGTTGGGGGGGGGATTTCTGGTCTTTCTCCTCTTATAGGAATACCAATCCTATTACATTGAGGCCCCACTCTTATGATTTCATTCATTTAATCTTAATTACCTTCCCAAAGGCCCTACCTCTAAATGCAGTTGGGGCTAGGGCTTCAACATATGAATATAAGCGGACAAAATTTAGTCCATAACAGGGAGGAAACACACAAAGAAAGCTGAAACAGAAATTATAACAAAAAAGCTTTTTTTGGTACTGGGGATTGAACCCTGGGATATTTAATCACTGAGCCACATCCCCAGCCCTTTTTATATTTTATTTAGAGACAGCATATTGCTAAATTTGGCCTTACTAAGTTGCTGAGTCTGGCCTTAAACCTGCGATCCTCTTGCCTTAGCCTTCCAAGTTCCTGGGATTACAGGTGTATGCTATGATGCCCAGCATAGAAGTCTATAATCTGACCCAATTGGTAATCTCAAATTTATTGTAAAAATTTATGCAACAAGTAGATAAAAGGGCAGGGAGTGACTTGTGCCTTTTATACACTGGCTCTGAGTTAACTGAACATCTGTTGAAATATACCAAAATTGGTAAGCCTTCATGCCTTAATCAATACTGGACAATCCACTAAATTTAAACAAAGTATCCCTATAATATTAGCAGAGTTACTGAATATAATATAGAGGACAAACAGGTATACCTAACCTTAACTACCGGATCAAATATCTTGCCTAAATCCTCTATAATCATAACACCCACTGTCTGAAACTATCCCAGAGTGGTCACAAACTCTCTGACCAATGAGTAATGAATAAAACTAGGTCTTTGGCACTTACAAATTGCCTTGATAAAATGGAACCTATGGACTTACCTCTTCCCCATTAAAATGGTTAATATGCCTCAATATGACTTAACACAAATCCTTTAATGACTAATATCCATTATACAAGACCTCTTTAGAAAAGGGGTTATCCTTACTGCTAGTTCATTGAAGAAGCTCAATTTGGCCTGCTCTTACACTTTAGAAGAATGAATTGTACCTCATGGTAGATTACTTCAACCTCAATACTGTGGACTTATTAAGGATTCAGTATCCAGTACTATTGAAATTATTAACAATTTAATTGGAAGCTGGTAAATATTTTGCCTTTATATATTTGTTGAATGTGTCTGTTCAGTGTCTATTTCAACAGTCTCTTGGCTGCAGTTTGCCTTCAATTCTACAGGCACTCAATAC